AATGATCACATTTACTATAGTTTAGCATATTCACGTATCTGAATCTCGTATTTTATGAATATTCTTAGTCATACTACTAGTTACAACCACACCTAAATACTACTGTGAAAGGTAGGTTAAATAATATATACACACACATACTCGTATATTCATACTTGGTCACTAAATCCCGAACACTAGACCATCCTTATTCATTTATGTCCTCAAAAATTTCATCTTGTTTTAAAGATATTTGTTGTATGTCATAATAATTAAATTTTAAATCTTAATAATTATTTGATGCGTTACAACGTTTTCTTGTATTTCTAGGAGTCTTCATTCTCAAAATATTTTGGTCACTTCGTATTTTACTTTAGCCGCGTTCTTGTAACATAGATTTTTTTTACAGATATCACTTTTCCGTTACTATTTTTATATTTGATGTTATTAACTTAAGCCGTAGTACCTACTATGTAACACTTGTTTTACCGACGTCTGAGGTATCTAGTTAGTTTACAATGACTATAGCTGAATCTTTCTAATTATCTCCATCTCTATATTTGTGAAAATGGCAATCGTGCTCAAGAAATTAATATACATTTACATTTCGTACTGGATACTGTAATTTCTAAAATAACTCCTTTCGGCATATTTTCTTTCTAATTATCAGTTGTAGTACTAGTCTAAATAAAAAGGTGAAGAATATAGATCGTGGAATCAAATATCTGGCTTGTAAATTTATTGAACTGTGTCACAATATTATTATTACTTAGGATTACACTGATGATTACAAGTCTTCCTCCTGAAATCAGTTGCAATTCAACCAAAGTTATATATTAGACATCATTCAAACAATGATACGGATCACTAGTTTTGTACATATATTATAGTACTAGTCACAGCGATTCTTTCACTGGTTTTCTTATTTAATATGAGCTCGAGATTTTCTATAGTATTTTATAAGGTGGTACTTACTTTTCGCAATTTTTTGTCAAAATTCAAGCTGATTTATCGTAAGAGTAGTGTAAGTAATTAAGCGGAGGCTGTAAGAAAGTTTTACCTCTAGCCCTACGTGCTAAAAAGCTTATGTATTGCCTAATTACTTTGAAATTAAGATTCAATGAGTGCTCGTTATGCTACGCTACAATATTCCTAACCAAAACTAGTACACTATTAGGCCACTGTAATGAACTATTGGCTAAATAAGCCACAAGAGGATCTTCGTCAGTTAAAACTGTAAGCAATACCACAGACGCAAAGCTTGTTCTTAAATCCATAGAAAATGTATTTAGAACTCTATATCACTACAGTAGAACTTTTTTAACTTAAATCTCTCTAACAGAAGACTCTTTTTATCTCAAAATAAATTTTTGGCCCTTAAAATGTTTGTTAACTCAAAAAAATCGTTTGTTAAACAATACGCTCGTTAACTTCAATTCGTTTAGCCGGGAAAAATCTCTTTATTTGTAATATTCTGTTAAAAAGCCCTGATGATTATTAGCAACAAACTGCAAATCCCTGGAAATAAGAATATAATAACATCCATAATTTGATGGTATGAGTATTAGTATGGTTACGTACAAAAAAATCGTTAGTACTAATCAGTTGATCGTCGTGATAGTGAGCCCTCAGAAAAAATAAGAATTTTTAAGTATTTCTCAAAAGTAAAGGTTATTGGAGCTATAAAGTGTAACATAAAAAGTAATAAAAGGTAGCAAAAGGATTTAATATTTATACTAAAACATGAACCTCTAATTTGTGAAAATAAAAATAAAGTTTTTAAAGTTTTGGTGACATTCAAATATATTAAGTGTTCACACAGAAAAAAGAGCTGTAAGTTTTGAAATAAAGAAAGCTATAGTGATATAGCTCAAATAGTGCCTGAGTTTACATGCTAGAATATAAAAATTATTTTCCGCGAAGTCTAAAAAACCTTCTTAAGTTATATTATTCAATTACTCAAACATATAAACAGCCCCTAAAAATTATATTTGACAATGATCAACTACACACAAATATGCTTCTTTCCTTTACGATCGAAATCCAAACTAAATTATAAGAAGGTTTCTAAAGTGCATTATTCAGTAGGTTATCAGTCAACCAACACGCATGTCTGCGTCTTTATTACAAGGTCGAACGAGAATGTGAACACTGCAAGACTTATACTATTTAATGATAATGCATAAGTAATTATAATATTTTCGATAAACATAATAATAACTATACATATTGTAACATTTATAATTGTATGGAACATGAGAAAAATAATAATTAAAATAACAACAACAGTATTATAAGAAAAAAAAAAGATAAAATAATTGTGATAATAATAATAGAAGAAGAAAAAATAATGACAATAATAGAAACGATAAAAGTTATAATAACAAGGGTAATAATAAAATAAAGCACAATAATATGATTAGTGGTGATTATGATAGTATGAACTAGGACAACAAAGACGACGATAATAAAGGTATTATGAATAATAAAGATGCTGCTTATAATAAGAAAGATGGCAAGAATGATAATAATAGAGATAAACGAATAAAAATAATAAAAATCATGATAGTAATAATTAAAAAAGTAATAAAAATGATAATAATAATAATTTTATTTGATAATAATGATAATAATGATGATGTTGAACGAAAAATTAAGATAATATCTATGGCAATAAAATTATTAAAAACAATTTTAATTTTAGATATAANAATAAAGATTAAAATAATAATTATAATAATAAGAATAATAATAGTAATTATAACAATAACAGAAATAATAATAATAGTAAATATGATAGTGATAACAATGTTTACTATGACAATACGTGCTATAAAAATTATAATAATATTGACTATAATTATCGTAACGATAAAAGTAATGACAAAAGTTTGGATGATAATGATTAAAAAAACTAGAATTAAACATGATAACGACACGAAAAATGACAATGATAATAATAGTAATGACAATACTTGAAATTCAAGTAACATTGATAATAATGTAATTATTCGATTTAGAACAATCGACAAAGTATACTTAGTTTAGATAGTCAGTTTAGATACAGCGGCGAGTACTACACCGCAACGTACGTGAAAGTGAGAGAGGAGACTTGCGCACTATAGCTCTGTTGCCTTTTAATACTCTGGCTATCGTTGGGGATAGAGGGCTCGTGCGAGTGGCGTCTGACGAGGCTGTACGGGGAGACTCACTTCAAAAGTTAAAAGAAAATGAGTCTAGTCACGATACATCTAAAACTAATAAAAGTTTATAAAAGTTTAAACAAAATTATATTGTATCAAATTAACAAATGTACAGATTTCTTATGTATAAAATAGTAGTTAGAAAATTAAAGCATTTATTTAAAATAAAACTGCTAAAATCAAAAGTGTCAGTGTTCAATCTATTCATCACCTCTCACAGCCAAGATTTGCTGAGTTAACTAAGTTGAATCTTGCCAAAGCAGAGCAGAGAGGAATTAAATGATCCAAAGTTTCATATACGCCTCCACATTACATCAATTCTCTTAACTTCTTCACCTTACTTGGCAATTTAAAAACATTTCAGCAGAGCGTGGTTTGCTTTAAAGGTTCAATATTCTTGGCATAAGGTAAACACGAGCGAGAACAAAGGAGCTGACGCCATTTTGTGTTTACCACGAGACGAAGAATTTCGGCCATAGGGCACGTAGTGCTGCGAGTGTTATATAGGCGCAAGCAATAAAAGACTTGAGTCAAATTCTTTTGTAGTTTTGTGGAAATTTAGTTACGTTTTTCGCAACCTGGCAATGATTTTAGCCTTCCTTTTACAAATTTAATTTTGACTTTAAAACTATTGTAACTATTTAAAACACTAAATGAAAACATTGATAAAATTAAATTGACTTTTACATAAATCAGTGAAATGCTAATTTATAAAAATTGATATTATTGCTAAATTCAGGGAACTTTTATTTAGTACAGTTTTCATTTAATTACATGTCCTTTCGATTCAACAAATTTGCTGACGTCATGGCAGACCCAGTAGAGCAATTCGACATGCAGGTTGCGTTGGGACAGCGCATCGTGACCTACAGGACAACAATACTCAAAACACCAAAGGATAAACGTGGACCTGGCTGGGTGAAGACTGTACTTGAGGGACTGGAAACCAACTGGAAGCTGTTCTCGGAGAATGACCTCAAGTCCACCAAGTTCTCATCACAAGAAGCTACCAAGAAACACGAATACTTCAAGGACGATATTTTTGCAATGGCGCAAACGGAATACAACATCACAAAAAATGAATTTTTGAACGTATTGCTGCCGGGAAAAAAGCAATCTACAATTCAAGCTGACGAAGCTTACATCAACGTGTATACAGACGCACCACAATACAAGAACCAAGAACCCTCTACCAACGCTGGATATTCCAAAGTTTTCTGGTAAGAAGTCGGAGTGGGAGATTTTTAAAGGGATGTACGAAACTCGGGTACACAACCAACCTACCATCATCCCTTCAGCCATCAAAATACCTGGCTGGCTATCTAGAAGGTAAAGCACGAAGATTTTTGCCTTCTCCACCTCTCACTGTTGACAAGTACGACGGAGCGTATTAAGCTTTGTTAGATAAATACGACAGCAAGAAGAAATTGCTGTTTACTCACCTTTCTACACTGATCTCCTACCCAAAGATAAAAGGGCAGAGGACGCTAGCTGAACTCTCACAACTTCTCAACACCATGAGGGTTACTAAAATTATTTTGAATTATTGGTGAATTGTGGTTGATTCGCCATATTTCTCACAAACTTGAATTTCGCACACTGCTGGAGTGGGAGTCAGAAGCTGACGCTGATAAAGATTATCCTACATTCAAACAGTTTTTCAGATTTCTAGAGAAACAAGTTCGAGTATTGGATGCAGCCCAGTGTTCTTTTGAAGAACATCAAGAAACTTCCAAGCAGACTTCCAAACCTGCAGATACTCTGACTACACGAAAGACTGTAGCAGCTCATTAAACTCAGGCATCGATAACTTGTGACATGTGCAAAAGTGACCACTATTCAAATGCCTGTCCAAATTTCAAGGAGATGCAGGTAAATCAGCGATCGGGCTTCAGCAAGCAGAAAAAATTCTGCATGAATGGTCTGCGTAATGGAAATTTTGTAGGAAAATGCAACTCCAAAAAGAGATGCTTTACATATCATGGTAAACACCATACACAGCTACACAGAGGGACGATAAACAAGGATCAAGATTCATCTGTAAAAACCGATGACGCTACCTCCCTCGTAGACAAGCAAGAGGAGATTAGTGCACACACAATGAGTTACAGTACTAGTGATCTCGGCAAAAGATCTGGTATTGTTCTTCTAGGCACAGCACTAGTTCACATACATGGCCCACATGGAAACCTAATCATAATGAGAGCCTTAATCGATCCAGCTTCAGAATGGTCATTCGTATCTGAGAAAATCATCACAAGCTTGTTACTTCAAGTGCAAAGGGTAAGAGTTAAAGTCACTGGCGTCGGAGCAAACTTCACTATAATTGTCAAGAAAGAAACAACTCTCTCAATCAAATCTGCACACGACAAGAAATTTTCCATGCAAGTGTCAGCTCACGTACTTGATAAACTAACACAGATACTTCCCAGGAGGGAAGTAAACGCATCACTATGGAGCCACATCAGGGATCTCCCACTCGCAGATCCAAAATTCAACAAGGCTCAACCAGTCGACTGTCTGCTGGAAGCAGATGTCTATTCAACAATTTTACTACCTGGGATTTTCAAAGGCGTACCTAGTACTCCTGTTGCCCTGTTGCCCAGAACACTGTCTTTAGTTGGATACTCATTGGAGCAGCCAAGGATGAGTATGTTGAAGCGCACACATCTACTCAATTATATACAACATTCGTCGATATTTCGTCAGAGTTTTCACTTCAAAAGTTTTGGGAAATGGAAGAAATTTCTCTAAACAGACACTTGACAGATGATGAGAAGTTCTGCGGAGACCACTTCTCTAAGACTACAACACGAAACAAGCAAGGTCGATATGACGTTAGACCACCTATAAAGAAGACGTACTTTTTCTAAGAATCAAGAGAGATTGCAGTGGCTAGTTTGCTTTGTCAGGAAAAATCTCTCTGTGAAAATGCAATACTTCAGAAGATGTATAAGGAGTACATCCAAGAATATAAGCGACTTGGACACTTAGAACCTGTACCAGCTGACGAGGACTCGAGGGATTGCTACTACATCCCTCATCATGCGGTTCCCAGGAGTGATAAGTCTGGTAAGATAAGAATTGTTTTCAACGCTTCGCAAAATGATAAGAGGGGCGTCTCTCTCAACGACTTTTAACCTCCTGGGCCAAAGCTACAGAGACACATAACAGTGATCTTAGTATGGTGGAGATTCTTTAAATACGTCTTTACTACCGACATCGTGAAGATGTTCCGTCAGATTTTAGTGTATCTAAGGGATAGAAATCTGCAGAGAATCGTTTGGAGAGACGACCCTTCACAGCCCATCCAGGACTACCGCCTCACCACCGTCGTGCAGGGAACTGCTGCTGCACCTTTTCTGGCCATCCGAGTCTTACTTCAACTGGCAGCTGTTGGTGAAGCTTCACATCCTAAAGCTTCTCAACTTCTACGAGAAAAAGTATACGTGGATAATATTTTCGGTGGAGCTGATGATATTCAATCACTTCTTCTGCTACGAGAATAGCTGATCAACCTTTTACTAACGGCAGGTATGACTCTGGGAAAATGGTCAGCAAATGACGCTCAAATTCTTCAAGGTTTGGTCAACAGTAACACTCATGAAATTGAAGTTAGAGCCAGCGAGATCACGTCAACTCTAGGCATAAACTGGTCACCAACACAAGACCACTTCACTCTCAGATTAGCAGATTTAAAGTCAAATCAAGAAATTACTAAGAGAACTATACTCTCTCAAACTGCTAAGCTTTATGACCCCCTCGGCTGGATAGCACCAGTTATAATAGTTGCTAAAGTCATCATCCACACATCTGGTTGGAGAAATACGAGTGGGATGATCCTGTTAACAATGACATCCAAATGAGGTGGGACTGTTTTAGCAATGCACTGTCAGAACTAAGCACAATAAAAATTCCACCTTGGATTGGAATTTTAACGGGAGAAAGTTGGACCCTCCATGGATTCGCTGCTGCCTCAAAGAGAAGCTATGCCGCAGTGATATATGCAGTCATACCAGGTAAAACTTCAAGTATTTTAATGGCAAAAACGAAACTAGCACCTACAAAATTGCAAACGCTGCCAAGACTGGAACTATGTGGAGCAGTGCTGATGGTCAAACTTACAGACCATCTACTCTCACATTTGAAGCATGCACCAATACAAATGAACTTTTGGACAGATTTCAAAATAGTCCTCGACTGACTGAAGGCGCACCCGTCAAAATGGCCAACGTTCGTTGCAAACCGAGTGAGTACCATCATTTTAACGTTCCCAAATGCCTTTTGGAAATACGTCAAGTCTTCAGATAACTCAGCTGACTGTGCGATAAGGAGACTGTCTCCCGCACAGCTTGCTCAATTTTCACTTTGGTGGAACGGACCAAGTTGGATTTTAAAAGATCCACTCATGTGGCCTTCAACAGACAACTCTACAAAAGGAAGCATCGAGAAAGTGCAAGACTTTCATGTGGCAAAAAATCAAGAAAAAAAAGGAAATGATAAACGTTCTTCTTGAAAAATCTACTTTCCTCAAAATTCAAAGATTTTTGGCACATCTAGCGAGATGGAAACTCAACGTATCGAAAGCAAAAGAACAGAAAATTACTGGTCTATTCTCAGTACAAGAATAGAATTTGGCTCTGACTTTCTGCTTCAGGGCAGTTCAACGTGCACATTTTTATAAAGAAATTACACTTCTTGAGCGACAAGAGAAGCTGTATAAGAAATTCACAATCAAGAAGTGCTGTCCATTCCTAGATGTAAATGGATTGCTACGAGTCGGAGGAAGACTCAGGAATTCTACTCTCCCATACAGCGAGAAACACTCAATCATTCTTCCTGGAAGCAGCCCCATTGTGAAAAGATACGTGAGTCAGATGCACAAGCATACCATGCATGGAGGGATCAGGCTGATGCTCTCACACTTGTATCGCCGTGTATGGATCACACGAGCTCCCCGAGTTGCTACCCAGATTTATCGTGACTGTGTAAAATGCACTCGTTACAATGCAAGAACTGAGGTACAGCAGATGGCGGATCTTCCCAAAGATCGTGTCACACCACAACGCCCGTTCATGATCTCTGCGCTGGATTAAGCAGAACCGATCAAGGTTCTCTTTTCAAAAGAAAGAGGAGCAAAAAATACCAACGGATATGTTACAATTTTCGTTTGCCTTGCGGTGAAAGCAATCCACATCGAGATCGTATCAGATCTAACATTCAAAGCGTTTCTGGTTGCCTACGACAGATTCAATGCTAAAAGAGGAGCCTGCTCTTGCCTGTATTCGGACAATGCAACTACTTTTAAAGGAGCAGCTATGGACCTCAAACAATTATTTACAGAAACTTCTGAGTTTGTGAAGGATATTAAAGGACAGCTGGCCATGCAAGGGACTAAGTGGTCATTCATACCACCTAGAGCTCCACACTTTGGTGGAATATGGGAGGCCGCCCTCAAGAGTTTTAAGCACCACTACACACGGATTGTTGGGGAGTCAGCGCTGACCTTTAAAGAGCACAGCACTCTAGCTGCTAAGATTGAGTCTTGCCTCAACTCAAGACCGATCGGTCCTCTCAGCACAGACCCTTCGGAACCAGCCGCACTAACTTCAGGACACTTTCTAGTTGGCACATCCTGTCTCACCCCTCCAGAACCTGTTAACCTCTAGCAAAAATAGAATTTGAGAAAACGATGGAGCTCGATCAGTCATCTTTGCAACTCTTTCTGGGTAAGATGGAAAAACGAATTTCTACAACAACTTCAAACCCGAAACAAATGGCTCAAGAAACAGCCAAACATTAAAAAGTGGGATGTTGTCATTATCCGAAATAATTTTTTCCTACCAGCAACTTGGCCTCTCGGCCTAGTAACAGACACACATCCAGGAGCAGATGGACTGGTGCGAACGCTTACGCTCAAGACTGCCAATAGCATCTTTACTCGCCCAGTCGTGAAGCTAATCAAATTGCACCTAGAAGACGATCTTCTAGTCGAGGAAGAAGACAAGAAGAATTCATGTAATGACAAAGCTCAGAATTAAAAATTTAATCTTAAGTTTAAGGTTTCACAAAGTTGACGAGTTTGGCCTCGGTTATTTTATTAAATTAATTAATTTGCTTTATTTTATTTTATTTTGCAAACTCCTTTTATTGATACTACATGTCAACGTGGGCAGAATGTTCGATTTAGAACAATCAACAAAATATACTTAGTTTAGATAGTAAGTTTAGATACAGCGGCGAGTACTACACCGCAACGTACGTGAAAGTGAGAGAGGAGACTTGCGTACTATAGCTCTGCTGCCTTTCACTACTCTGGCTATCGGTGGGGATAGAAGGCTCGTGCGAGCGACGTCTCGCGAGGCTGTACGGGGAGACTCACTTTAAGAGTTAAAAGGGAAAGAGTCTAGTCACGCTACGTCTAAAACTAATAAAAGTTTATAAAAGCTTAAACACAATGATATTATATCAAATTAACAAATGTACAGATTTCTTTTGTATAAAATAGTAGTAAGAAAATAAAAGCATTTCTTTTAAATAAAACTGTTAAAATCAAAAGTGTCAGTGTTTAATTTATTCATTGCCTCTTACAGCCAAGACTCGCTGAGTTAACCAAGTCAAATCTTGCCGAAGCAGAGCAGAGAAGAATTAAACGACACAAAGTTTTATGTACGCTTCCACATTACATCAATTCTCTCGACTTCTTCACCTCACTTGGCAATTTACAAACAGTAATTAATAAATTAAATTAAAATAATCATTTATACAACAATTGATAATGGTCCGTAAAATAATAATAACAGTGACAATCTTTGAAACAATAATGATAATAGAAATAATGATGTTAATCGAAACGATAATGTAGATGATGATTATGACGATAATTATGATATTTATAATGACAATAAAAGTAACAATGACAATGATAATAATGACAACAATAAAAATAATTATAATTAGAGCGATAATGATAAAGATGATAACAGTAATGACACTTATAATGTTTATGATAATGCCAGTGAGGTAGTTAAAATGATATTAATTTAGAGAATGATAATAGCAATATCATTGGAATTGTTAATAATAAGTGTAATAACCATGACAGTAACATTAAGGACAATAATAATAATGATAAGAAAAATAATCATGATACTAATGACGATACTGATTTTGATAATAAAAATTACAATCCTCATAATAATGACGATGATAAATATCAAAATGATAATAACAATAAAAATATAAGTAATGATAATAATTATAATAACGATGACAAAATTAATGGAAATTTAATAAAAATTATTGTTTTCATTATAATAATCATGGGGACGACAACATTTATAAAAATATTAATGAGAATGATGACAAACGTAGTAAAGACAATAAAAATAAAAATAATCGTAATGAAAATACTTATAAAATTAATGATTAAAATAATGAAAATATTATTCGCTTGTAACAATGATAGAAAATTAAATAAGAATAAATGAAATTGTGTTTATTATAATTATACATCATTAATAAAAAAACAAGTAGCACTCCGGAAGTGCAGGCAGAAGTGAAAACTTCAACTTATGGCGTGTTGGGCACTTTTTTGGGTGAGCATTTTTAGGTGGGCTCGTAACATGAGAAATTGTACATGAAAAATCAAGTTTATCAAAGCAATGTGGGATAGACATGAAGTACAATAATGTAGAAACTATATTCGAAGGTAGTGGTTTTATTCAAATAAGTGAATATTAGTAAATAGTAAATACAAAATTTATCAATTTTTTTAACACAATACTATAGCAGCAACACAAGTTAAATAAAATATTTAAATAAGTAAATTTTCCGTTTAATGTTCATTTATAAAACAAATATAAAACACTCTTAATCTTGTTTGTCACGAGGGCACGAACAAATGCCCATGTAAACACTGCGTATCAGCGTTGGTCTGAGCATTATTCCACGCTCACAGTTCATGCTTGATCGCACATAGTGCCACTGACTGGATCTCACCGAGAACTACTTCGCGCGAGAATTCGGATTCAAAATCGTATGATTTTTTTAACAGACAGTAGGCACGGAAATTGAAATTCGAAAGTATTCTTGGTATATTATTTATGCATGTAATCATACAACATTATTTAATATTTTTACGCATTAATTAGCCAATACATACAAAGATTTCTTTCAAATTTGAATTTCTGCGCCTACTGTCTGCTGAAAAAATCATACGATTTTGGATTTGAATTCTCGTGCCAAGTAGTTCGCGGTGAGATCCAGGCAGCAGCGCTATGTGCGATCAAGCATGAACTGTGAGCGTGGAATAATACGCTGCTGCGTATAGCATGCAGCGCTCTCACATACCTACACACTCTGAGTATACATATAGGTATGTAATCTTGTCTGTCGCGAGAGCACGAACGAATGCCTATGCAAAGAGTGCGTATAGTATACATATATTATACATTTACACGCGGAGTATATCTGTGTAAAATCTGCAAAAGTGCCCAACGCGCCATTAGAAGTTGTCACTTTAATAATAAAAACAACGGTTTCTATAATGGTATTAGTCGTCACTTGATATAGATTAATGCCAAGAGGATTAAATAAAAAAGACTTATAACAAATAATTTGATCTTCTTTTTGTTTGTTAGCATTATATTTCACTTTATTTGTTTAAACGTTGCAGCCGTTTTCGTCTTGTTGTGCACACGTCTCAAGCAGGTACTGTAATACTGAAATGACCGTTATGTTTCTCTTAAAAGAATAAAGTGAAAATAATTTTTTTAATAATAGCCCTGTTCATTTAATGAACCAAAAAAAACAGTATTATTAATTATATGACATTTCATGTCACACATTTCATATTTATAACTGTAAAACACAGAGTATCACTTTCAAAATATAAAAAGCAAGAGCTCAACGATCTCAAACCATCGGGTGGTATACTTGATTCTGCAATTGCGTGACATGTGACTTACTCATTTTGAAACAAGCTACCGTGGCAAAACTTAAACTACGCGTGCAGCCTCAATTAATTTTTTAAAACGTTTATTTAACGAAATCAATTTTCACAATAACACCAAATTCCGTGATCAATCAACAACTGAAACATTCTTTAGAGCAGCTGTACACTATAAATATTTTACACAATTTTGACAGCAACTTGTACCTAATGTAATATCCAAGAGATCAGCAGTTGTCACCATCAATTACTGTAGAATTATTGCACCACAACTGTGCGTGTGACAGTCAAGGGTAATCAGGTTAAACCTTCGTTGATCGTTCAGATCCCCAACTTGACGTTTCCTTCTCAAACGCAAGGGCATAAAAACTCCTTGCAAATAACAACATTCACCTTTTTTCTTTGATCCAGTGCTTCAAAGTAACTATAATAATTTGAAAGTGAGTTCTGTTGCGCCTTTTTAGCGGATGTAAGTTGTAGTTCAGTGATTAAGCTAAATGTTAGAAGCGTGCATTTCAAGCAGAAATAAGACTTAGTTTGGTTACTAAGCTGTGTAAGAAAATGTCGAGCAAACCAGGACACTGTAAGCTTACCTATAAAGCAGTAGCCTCATTATTGTCATCACCACGAGTGCTTTCATGTAGGATTAAAAACATCGTTGCGGTCAACCTCGTAAGATCTTGAAACTGCGTGCACGCAGGCAGCGGCTAACTAACGATAATAAAAGAAACTTAAGTTAAGAAAACTATAAATTGTATTACATTGTAAATGCAAATCTGAAAATCTATTATTCATACTTTCTATAAAATTAACTATTTCTGGCTTTTCTCATTTATTTAATCATCAGATAAAACATATCTTGATTGTTCAAAAACAATCTAATTAAAAAACATTACAACTAATAAATTATATGAAACATTTCAAGTTCTTATGATTCTAATTGACTGACACATAATTACTACCTTAATGAACACATTGAATATCCAGGAAAAATAAAATAGACACTGTATGACAAAGGCTTTAACAAGTTTGTCAAAAACAAAAATGGATGAGAAACGATACTACCGTAAGACATAAGACACAAACAATAAGTCAACGCAGGCTCAGCGTAGACCAATCCATACACATCGCTTGGTGGAACCTAACACCACAACACCGAGTCAACGATTTCGAAAAAAAGAATACTGTAAGTAAAAGTAAATGAGGCCTTCGAGCTTACATCTGGTTCCTGATAAAAAAATTTAATTTATTTGTTTGTACAACGAATCTACAAGTTCCGACTTTTATTTAAAGAAGTTTCGACGTAATAATTTTAAAGGTTATAATAATTAGTTCGCTTGGTATGTTTAAAGTCATCATAATATGTATGATAATAATAGTGGTAAAATATGGAATGATAATAACGATAAAATAAGTAACGATAACAATAACAATACCACAACAATAAATAATGGTATGCATAATTGATGGAATAATGTCAATAACATAATCAAAATAATACAAGAAATTGAAATGATAATGGCAGTAAAGTTATTAATATTTAAAGTAAGTCTTGTAACTAATAGGGCAATAATAATAATCAAACAAATCATATAATAATAATGACAACAATAATAATAATAATAATAATAAAACTAATAAAGATAATAATAACAGTGCACTCAAGGAAGCCAGAGTTCACCTGGAAAAAATCTGTGGGCTCTTAAACGACTTCAA